CAGCCTTCCTGCTCCTCTGATGCTGCTTGGCCTGCTGTGTTCATCCAGCTCTAAACCTTGTTATCTCAGATTCTCCAGCATCTGCAGTTCCTACTATCTCCAGATCAGTAAACCTGCTTGGTGTTACCTCTTTCTATTGCCCATGGTTCTCGTTATTTATTGTCATGTTACACATGGGGCAACTGATCCAATTATTGATTCAAACTTGTTACTTCTGTTTAGTTCTTGAGGAATGTGCAAACAGGACTGAATTGTCATTTTCATTGACAATGAACTTTCAAAGTACACTACCCTTTTGGCATAAAGATGCTGAAATGTTTTTGTGGTTCAGAAGTTTTAAGCAAGAACCAGCTGGACTTCCTGCAGACCACGTGAGAGATTCAGCACCATTGTGCCTGAAAGGAGAAGTGGTTGTTAAAAGTCAGGTTGTGAGGTGGCGCATGTTTACACATGAATAGCTCCTGGCATTGGGCAATAAAGTGTGTTATTGTGCTGAACAACACCTTTTGAGGTTAGGTCCGTGTCCTGGTTCCCTGTATGCTTGAGGCCTTGTGTGAACAGTAGGTCTGTGGTAACCAGAACGCGTTATCATCCCCAGGACTGAGAATTTTATTTGAGAGACACTAGGATATTTTGCTTCTGGATTGTCAGGGAAGTGTCTATATGAGTCATGTCATTTCCGATTTAGACAAATGTGTTTTTTGCTTGAGTTCTTGTGGGTCAGGTAAATTGTGCAGCCAAGCTACTTGCTTCATCCCACCATCTAACTAGAAGATGTGATGTTTTTTATAGTGAGTTTGAAGTTTCTTTTCATCTTGGCTTCATTAGCAAGAACAAGGCTTCATGTTTGGCATCGAGGGAGGGGAGAAGGCAGATCTGAATAGTCACCTTGAGGTGAGAGACTGTTCTGGTACCCTGCGCTGATGAGCAGTGATAGGAAAGTTAAGGGATGTGGTCAATCCTGTGACTTGATGGATGCTGAAATTTTCACCCAGATGGTAGTGCTTTCCCTTCTGTAATGCCTTGAACAGGAGGTTCCAGATTTAAATGTGCGAGGTTATGTACTTTGAGAAGCATAGAGGTGTAGAGCACTTTCTAAGTGGGGAAAGGCTTTGGAAATCTGAAGTACAAAGGGACTTGGGAGTCCTAGTTCAGGATTCTCTAAGGTTTCTAAATATCACTTGGAAGTTAGGAAGGAAAATTGAATGGTCTTATTCAAGAGGGCTAGAATATAAGAGCAGGAATGCACTGCTGAGGCTGTGAGAGGCTCTGGTCAGACTGCACTTGAAATATTGTCAGCAGTTTCAAAGGAAGGTTGTGCTCCCCTTAGAGGGGTTCCTGAAGACATTCACAAGAATGATCTCAGGAGTGAAAGGCTTATTAAATGAGGAGTAGTGAAGTACTCTGGGTCTGAACTTGGAGTATAGGAAGACAAGCAGGATGTCATTGAAATTTACAGTAGAGAGGCTTGGATAGAGTGAACGTGGAGAAGGAGAGACAAGAAACTGAGGGCATAGCCTCAGAGTGACGGGATAACTCTTTTTAGAACTGAGATAAGGAGGAATTTCTTCAGTCAGAGGGTGGTGAATCATTGCCACAGCCTTTTGTGGAGGCAAAGTCATTGAGTGTATTTAAGACAGAAGTAGGTGGGTTCTTGATTTAGTAAGGGGATCAAGGGTTATGGGGAGAAGGCAGGAGAAATATACAAACCATGATCGAATGGCAAGGCAGACACAAATTTGGTCAAATGGTCTAATTTTTCTCCTTTTATCTTATGGTCTTATAGAATGTCTTTGTGTTTTTCAGGCATGCACTTTTTGTATTCTAGCAGCTTCTGTGGTGCTGGTGCCACCTCTACTTAGTGGATGGAGCTGTTTCTGCTTTGGTGTAGATGGAATGCGTTTACTTACGTTTTAATTACCACTCAACCCGTAGCAGGAGGTTTTGGGGATTTGTTCTGGTGAAGGAAATGGGATTAGGGTCAAGATTTCTTCTCCACTAGGTTATTTGGAATGTGGGCAAGGCTCCCATATACTGCATTTTTTTCAGCTGTTCACAAAGCTGTCAAGTAGGAAGCATGAGATCCAGATCAGTTGATTGACACAGATGGCGTTCAATATACAATATATCATCAAGCTGTTAATGATCTAGCCCTGGGAAAGATGTACAAAGAGGAAGGTGTATTTTGAAGGTTTTGCCAGTTCATCAGTCTTGAGGCAAATACATGATTTCATGGATCTGATTCCTTCAGGACTTGCATTATGATACTTGGTGGTTCTGCACGAGATGGGTGTCAAAGCTGTTCTCTTGGCTTGTGTCAATGATGTGCTCCTTGTGATCCTGATGTATTTGACCTGTAAAGGATCTGAAAGTGTTAAGTTTCTGGCATTATATGTCCTGCCATCAGCTACTAAATATTGTAGGCTCCTGGTGCATCAGTGCCAACAGGACTCCCTCCCAGAGGAGTTTAGGCATGTTGACTGGAGTACTATCTACCTCTGCTACTTGATTCCATCTTAACCCTGCTGTGAATTTGATTCCTCCAAGGCCTACATTGCAATTTCCTCCTTGTACTTGCAGTAAAAATGGCAGGGGATCTATAAGCAGTCCTTGGAATAGTGGGCTGATGATTCCTGGCCCCTTATTCAGAAAGCACTGAACATGTAATAGTGTTATTGTGTTTGTGGGGCTGGTGAATTGGCAAAAATTGGAAGCAAAGCGATCACTTAAAGGTAACCGACAAGATTGCTCAGAGTGCTGACCTGTGGTCGGGGTCATGTAATTATTGTAAATTGTGGCAGTTATTGTTTTAGTGAATCACTCTGATTCTTCTCCCAAGTTGTTGCTGAGATATAGGAGAAACTCAGATTTTTTTCTGGGACAAAAAGGCACATTAAGGTCTGAAAATGTTACTTGAACCTGTCAAATCATGTAAAAGCCTTAAACTTCTCTAAAGGTGCAACACCTTAAAATATGTAACTGAATACTGCAGAAATGTTTGTGTCTGTATTTATATGTGGAATTCTTAATCTTGAACTATCTATTGCTAAGAAGAACTTTAATTATCATTTTGTAATAAGCCAAAGCTATTCTTTTTCTTTCCTCAGATTCATGATGTTGCAAACTGAGGCTTGTACATTTGCCTCTCTTTGTTCAAGCTGATCAACTGATGTGATAGTAGAACATTTGGAGAGAATCCTAATGCCATTTGGTAGAAAAATATGAGTGGGTCAAAGCCAGACATCCTGTGGGCTCCTCATCATGTGGACAGATTTGTTGTTTGTGATTCTGAACTTTGCCTCTATCGTACTGAATCAGTAGGAAATTGTGAAGCTAAAGCTGGTTCTTTGAGACTCTCAGAGGACACCACAGCTACATTGCTGGCGATTAACTCTGACACTCCCTATATGAAATGTGTTGCTTGGTATCCTAAATATGACCCAGAGTGTCTACTTGCTGTTGGTCAAGCCAATGGACGGGTTGTCCTTACTAGCCTTGGTCAAGATCGTAATTCTAAATGCAGAGATTTGATAGGAAAGGAATTTGTTCCTAAGCATGCCCGTCAGTGTAACACACTAGCTTGGAACCCCGTAGACAGCAATTGGCTTGCTGCTGGACTGGACAAACATAGAGCAGATTTCTCAGTACTCATCTGGGATATTAGCAGCAAATATACACCAGAGATAGCTGTCCCAGCAGAGAAGGTTCGTCTTTCTGCTGGTGATACTGATGCTGGCCTTGTCGTAACAAAGCCTTTGTATGAGCTGGGACAAAATGATGCAAGCCTCTCTCTTTGCTGGCTCCCAAGAGATCAAAAGCTCCTGCTGGCAGGCATGCACCGCAATCTTGCAATTTTTGACTTGAGGAACACCAGCCAAAAAATTTTTGTCAATACAAAAGCTGTTCAAGGTGTAACTGTTGATCCTCACTTCCATGACCGTGTAGCATCTTTCTTTGAAGGTCAAGTGGCAATCTGGGACTTAAGGAAGTTTGAAAAGCCAGTACTGACACTGACTGAGCAACCAAAACCACTAACAAAAGTAGCATGGTGTCCAACTAGAACTGGTTTGTTAGCTACATTAACAAGAGATAGTAATATAATTCGCCTGTATGATATGCAGCATACTCCAACACCTATTGGGGATGAAACGGAACCCACCATAATAGAAAGGAGTGTGCAGCCATGTGAAAACTACATTGCCTCCTTTGCTTGGCATCCAACAAATCAGAACCGTATGGTTGTAGTGACACCTAACAGATTAATGTCGGACTTCACTGTCTTTGAGCGAATATCACTGGCTTGGAGTCCAACTACTTCTCTAATGTGGGCCTGTGGAAGACACTTGTATAACTGCAGTGAAGAAGGAGAAGCTAGTTCTGGAGAGAAAGATGTTGCTACGAAAATGAGGCAGCGGGCATTATCAAGATATGGGCTTGACACAGAGCAAGTGTGGAGAAATCATTTGTTGGCTGGAGATGATGACCCACAGCTGAAGTCTTTATGGTACACTCTGCATTATATCCTTTTTGGTTAAAATTTGAAGAGGAAGTTAATGGTTTATCAAAAACTTTGTTTCTCAGGAAGGTATATTGCAATGATGTTTAATAAGAAGCCCAAAACTTGTTTGAGGTATTTTTAAAAATTTTGTTTCACGGTGCAACAATATTTAAAAGAAAGAGAAACTTTCTTGTGATATTTCTATTCTAGTTTTTTTTTTTGAAGGATGTCTGTCCCTTTAAAGCTATTGTAGTGGAGCTGTTGTAGATTAATTGCTATGATTTAGTCAGCAACTCCACTGTTGTAACATGGCCAGTGCGAGCAGGTTACCATAGTGACCCATGACATCATGGTGATATGCCCATTTACGCTGCCAAGGTGATGTGAAAAAAGCTGATGTTGTCAATGGTAAGTGAATGCGGTCCGGATGCAGTTTAGGTAGTTGTTATGGGGGACTTTAACTTTCCAAATAGTGACTGGAAATGCTATAGTTTGAGTACTTTAGATGGGTCAGTTTTTGTCCAATGTCTGCAGGAGAGTTTCCTGACACAATATGTAGATAGGCCAACAAGAGGCGAGGCCACATTGGATTTGGTACTGGGTAATGAACCAGGCCAGGTGTTAGATTTGGAGGTAGGTGAGCACTTTGGTAATAGTGACCACAATTCGGTTACGTTTACTTTAGCGATGGAAAGGGATAAGTATATACCACAGGGTAAGAGTTATAGCTGGGGGAAAGGCAATTATGAGACGATTAGGCAAGATTTAGGATGGAGAAGGAAACTGCAGGGGCTGGGCACAATTGAAATGTGGAGCTTGTTCAAGGAACAGCTACTACATGTCCTTGAGAAGTATGTACCTATCAGGCAGGGAGGAAGTGGTCGAGCGAGGGAACCGTGGTTTACTAAAGAAGTTGAATCTCTTGTCAAGAGGAAGAAGGAGACTTATGTAGAGATGAGGCGTGACGGCTCAGTTAGGGCGCTTGACAGTTACAAGTTAAGCAGGAAGGACCTAAAGAGAGAGCAAAGAAGAGCCAGGAGGGGACATGAGAAGTCTTTAGCAGGTAGGAACAAGGAAAACCCTAAAGCTTTCTATAGGTATGTCAGGAATAAAAGAATGACTAGAGTAAGATTAGGGCCAGTCAAGGACAGTAGTGGGAAGTTGTGCGTGGAGTCCAAAGAGATAGGAGAGGTGCTAAATGAATATTTTTCGTCAGTATTCACCCAGGAAAAAGACAATGTTGTCGAGGAGAATACTGAGATACAGGCTATTAGACTAGACGGGATTGAGGTTCATAAGGAGGAGGTGTTAGCAATTCTGGAAAGTGTGAAAATAGATAAGTCCCCTGGGCCGGATGGGATGTATCCTAGGATTCTCTGGGAAGCTAGGGAGGAGATTGCAGAGCCTTTGGCTTTGATCTTTATGTTGTCATTATCTACAGGAATAGTGCCAGTAGACTGGAGGATAGCAAATGTTGTCCCCTTGTTCAAGAAGGGGAGTAGAGACAACCCTGGTAATTATAGACCAGTGAGCCTTACTTCGGTTGTGGGTAAAGTGTTGGAAAGGATTAGAACAGATAGGATTTATAATCATCTAGAAAGGAATAATTTGATTAGGGATAGTCAACACGGTTTTGTGAAGAGTAGGTCGTGCCTCACAAACCTTATTGAGTTCTTCGAGAAGGTGACCAAACAGGTGGATGAGGGTAAAGCAGTTGATGTGGTGTATATGGATTTCAGTAAAGCGTTTGATAAGGTTCCCCATGGTAGGCTATTGCAGAAAATACGGAGGCAATGGATTGAGGGTGATTTAGCGGTTTGGATCAGAAATTGGCTAACTGTAAGAAGGCAGAGGGTGGTGGTTGATGGGAAATGTTCATCCTGGAGTTCAGTTACTAGTGGTGTACGGTAAGGATCTGTTTTGGGGCCTCTGCTGTTTGTCATTTTTATAACTGACCTGGATGAGGGCGTAGAAGGATGGGTTAGTAAATTTGCAGATGACACTGAAGTTGGTGGAGTTGTGGATAGTGCGGAAGGATGTTGCAGGTTACAGAGGGACATAGATAAGCTGCAGAGCTGTGCTGAGAGGTGGCAAATGGAGTTTAATGCGGAAAAGTGTGAGGTGATTCACTTTGGAAGGAGTAACAGGAATACAGAGTACTGGGCTAACGGTAAGATTCTTGGTAGTGTGGATGAGCAGAGAGATCTCGGTGTCCATGTGCATAGATCACTGAAAGTTGCCACCCAGGTTGATAGGGTTGTTAAGAAGGTGTATGGTGTGTTAGGTTTTATTGGTAGAGGGATTGAGTTTCGGAGCCATGAGGTCATGTTGCAGCTGTACAAAAGTCTGGTGTGGCCGCACTTGGAGTATTGCGTACAGTTCTGGTCGCCGCATTATAGGAAGGATGTGGAAGCATTGGAAAGGGTGCAGAGGAGATTTACCAGGATGTTGCCTGGTATGGAGGGAAGGTCTTATGAGGAAAGGCTGAGGGACTTGAGGCTGTTTTCGTTAGAGAGAAGAAGGTTAAGAGGTGACTTAATAGAGACATACAAGATGATCAGAGGATTAGATAGGGTGGACAGTGAGAGCCTTTTTCCTCGGATGGTGATGGCTAGCATGAGGGGACATAGCTTTAAATTGAGGGGTGATAGATATAGGACAGATGTCAGAGGTAGGATCTTTACTGAGAGAGTAGTAAGAGCGTGGAATGCCCTGCTTGCAACAGTAGTAGACTCGCCAACTTTCAGGGCATTTAAATGGCCATTGGATAAACATATGGATGATAATGGAATAGTGTAGGTTAGATGGGCTTCAGATTGGTTTCACAGGTCGGCGCAACATCGAGGGCCAAAGGGCCTGTACTGCACTGTAATGTTCTATGTTCTATGACTATCTGGATGGTGTGCATTTTTTCATCTTTAGCAATTCCTACGCTTCTATGTTCTTAAGTAACTGCAGATGTTCAAAATCTGGAAACAAATTGCGGTAGGATATTATACTGGTGTTATGAATCTACACAGCCTGAGCTCACTGCATCTATTACTTTCTGGCTACCTAGAGCATAACCTATTTCTGTGGAATCAGCATTAATGCATTGAGCATCCTGTCAGTTAACACTTCACTTCTGGAGAAGACATCGTGCAGCCAAGGAAACTCTGGTTAGACCATATTTGGAGCACTGTTTTCAGTTCTGGGTGCTTAACCCTCCTCTGTCTTGAGGTGTAGCAGAATTTGACCAGAATGATAACTAAACTCCCAGAGGTTTTAAATTGCAAGGAAAGATTAAAGGCAAGGTTGTCTTCCCTGAAAGTTTTTTTTTCTTTATTCATTTGTGGGACGTGGGCATTGCTGGCTGGCTGGCATTTGTTGCTGTTGAGAAGGTGGTGGTGAGCTGCCTTCTTGAACCACTGCTCCATGTGCTCTGAGTAAACTCATAATGCCCTTAAGGAAAGAATTCCATGATCTTGATCCAATGACAGTTAAGGGAACAGTGATATATTTCTGAATCAGGATGGTGAGTGGCTTGGAGGGGAACTTGCAGATGGTGGTGTACCCATGCGTTCGCTGCTGTTATTCTTCTAGGTGGGAGTAGTTGTGGGCTTGGGAATGTACTAAGGACCTTTTGGTACATTTCTGCAATACCTCTTGTAGATCGTGTATTGAGTGTCAGTGGTGGAGTGAGTGGATGTGCTGATCAAGCAGGATACTTGGTCCTTAATGGTGTCAAGCTTCTTGAATGGTGTTGGAGCTGCAGTCATCCAGGGAAGTTGGGAGTATTCCATCACACACCTGATGCATGCCTTGTAGATGGTAAACAGGCTTTGGGGAATCAGGAGGTCCGCTAAAGATGAATGGGAGATTGAAAATTTTGATTATATTGAGGGGAATCAGTTGGCGGGGGGGAAACAATTTCCATAGGTTGGGATGGGGGGGGTGATCGCAGACTGGAGGGAATAGTTTTAATAAAAAATCTTTTTTTTTTTTAAATTAAATGCGTTAGCCATTTCAGGAGTGAAATTGGGAAACACTTTGCAAAGTGTGCTGAAATTTAGAACTATTCTGCAAATACCATTACCTATATTGGACAGGTATACAAAATTGGGCTTTTCTCAATAGGGTAACTGGCATAATAACTCAATTTTATTGGTATATTTATCCTAATGCATAGCAGTCAGTGTACTATTTCCACGGCTCATAATATTGAAAATTAAATTGAAGATACTTTAAGAAGTATCCAGTAAAATTAACAGAAAGATAATATGGCATTAGATATTTTGAATACACATTAACAAATGCTGAAAGTACATGGGCTGAATTCCTGACAAAACAGTTGGCTGAAGGCAGTGGCGGATTGCCAGTGAGGGTGAGCATTACTGCCTTCCTGACTCCTACCTATCAGCAATGTCTCTTTTTAAAGAGAACCATGTGATTTGTTACAGCTACCTGAGAGGTAAAACAAAACTTTGGTTAATTGTTTCATCTAAAAGTTGGAAGAAGTGATATGAGTTGAAAGTAGGGATGGGCTATTAATTTAAAAAAAAAACACTTCTTCAATTTCCCATTCTAATTACCTGTATTAAATATTAAAGTATCTTAGTATCTCATTCATGGAAATGAATGATCGATGGTGCCAACTGAACGAGCTGTTATGTTCTGCATGGTGTCCAGCTCCTTGAATGCTGCTGAAGCTGCAGGCATTCAGGCAAGTGGACAGTATTCCAGCACACTTCTGATTTGTGCCTTTGTAGATATGGACAGGCTTTGGGTGTCAGCAGGTGAGTTATTTGTCATAAACTCCTACCCTCCAATCTGTTTTTGTAGTTGCGGCATTTCTATAGCCAGTCCAGTTTTTGTCGAGTGATTGACAACCCCATGATGTTGTTTGAGGGAATTGTTCAATGGTAATGTAATTGAATATTAAAATAGGAGATGGTTGGGTTCTCTCTTGATCTAAATGGTCTTTGCCAGATACTTATGTGACAAGTTACATTTATGCCGCATCATCCCAGACCTGGATACTTTTTAGATGCAATGTTTGAGAAGTTGAATGGTGCTGATATATTGTGAAGTATGCAGCAAACATGTCCATTTCTGACCTTCATTGGAAGGATGATGAAGATGGTGGGCCTAGGGCACTAGCCTGACATACTAAGTAGGTCCCTTGTGGCACAGTGATGGTGCCCCTACCTCTGAACCAGGGGCCTACATTCAAGCCCCACCTACTCCATAGATGTGCAGTCATATCTCTGAACAGGTTAGTTAGAAAATACCTAGCCTGGGGTACTACTGCATTGACGTCTTGGGGCTGAGATGATTATTTAAGTGTCCAATTGTGCTTTTTATTATTTTAAGAGTGTTGGTGACATTTTCAGGCTTGCCTATTGGAGTTGACTATGTTTATAAGGGATTGTAATTCTGTGTAAACTTTGCAATGAAACTAGTTTAAAAATTTTATCTCCAGTCTGGGATATAGGCTGTCAGGCCAAACTATTAATTGGGTATTTGTGCACTTGTTTTTGAGGTGTTTGAGAGTTCTTCAGGGTGTTGAATGTGAGAGCATTGAGAAGGGCAAGTGATGTGGGGAAGGAATCTTGAATTCTTAGGAGCATTGGGCTGAGATTCCTTCATTTGCTTTGTGAAAGGATAAGTTTTGATCATGGCAGTGATGGAATGTGGAAACTTTAGAGAGAGGTGACATTGGTGTGGGGTGAATGGTGGAGGTGGATGGTTTGTAGTTTCCAACAGTTTTCTTTCAGGTTGAAAATAGAAGGAAAGATGTATTTTTGGAGGTACAGTGGAGGGTAATACAATACTACTGGTGGAGGATCCAGCTGTAGTGAAAGTAAAAGACTTGCTCCATCAAAGCTTATTTCCTAATTTAAAAGTATATGTGCTGTAACAAGAGATTCAATAAAGTGGTGATACAGCTGGTCACGAGCTGCCTCAGCTAATGAGCTGAACCAGCAGATAGCCAATAATGAAATAGTGACTGTTTCCTGTGCAACCAAACTGATTGCACTGTGCAGATTAAGTTCATGGTCGGATTTTCAATAATTCCACATTTCCAGGACTTGCTGAATGTGATGTGTATAGATTTACAAGTTGTTTAATTGCAACTAAAGTAGGCTTATATAAAGTTGCCTTTTCCCTTCATGTTGTTTTCCTATATTTGTAATCACTCATGAAACAATATGCTGAAGATGCAGATCAGAAATCTATGAACAGAGTGCCTCTCGTATACTCTGGTATTAAAGCAATAGTGAAATCCAGTGCAGGTGAGTAGATTAATTATTTTGTTTGTCCGTCTATAATATTTATTTCTGTTGTGAATGCTTGTTGGTTGTTCCAGATATTTTCAAAAAAATGAAAAGAATGCAAATGTAGAATTTCGCTTCAGGAAGATTCTTTGCACACTTAGTACCAACAATCTTTGAACTACTCTTCAGTGATCCCTGAGTGGTTCCGAGTGCCCTATTGAAAACCTTGCAGTGAGCTCAGACATTATTGCTGAGCAGAATTGAATGCTGTCACCTAGTAACTTTGGAAAAATCTGTTCCGTAAATGTTACCAGTCATAGATGGCCAGCTTGTTCCATACAAAACTTGATACAAAAAGAGGTTGTCATTATACACTCCTCTACAAAAAAAAAAGGTTTTACCATAGTGAAGGTTTTTTGCAATACTCTGGAGTTGCAACAAGTTCTTATCATAAAACTGTAACACACATTATTGCAGCCTTTGCATGTGTCTTATGAAAGCTACAAAGGTTTAACTTAGACAACAGGCAAGTACGTGTCCAAGTAGGATTAACCATGTTTAAGTAGTCTACCATTTAATACAACTGAATGCTAATGTTTTCTTATGGCTTTAAGCACTGGACATAGCAATTGCAAGGGTCTTTCCCAATCTCTTTGTGAGGAAGCAAATGCTGTGAAAATGCATCAAAGTTTTGTTTAGAAATATCTTAACCAGTTTGTACTTCTATTTTGAGCTATAGATTTTCAACTATTTCTGGCAAACCAATGCACTGATTTTCTCTTCTTGAAGGATGTGTATTTAATCATGCCCTAGACTTTTTACCGTAGGTTTCTCGACTTGAATAAGTCCAAACATGTTTTTTTTTCTTTGTCCTTTTTCCTTATCATCTGGAACATGAATCACATCATCAACATTAATGACTGACAAGTCCTGACAGTTCTCAAAATATTAATTTGTTTACTTGTTGGAATACACTTGTCCCTTTTAAACACAAACCTCTATAGCCTCCAGTAGCCTGTGACAGTCTACAAGGAAAAAAAAATCTTTTGAATATCCTGATGCGTTCTAATAGATCCTGAGTGAGAATATTTCCTTTCCTGATGCTATTTCTTTTTCTGGAGATAGTTAAGTCTTCTGGTTACTCCCAGTGGTTTACTGTTCCTGTTGTAATAATTTGCATTTAGATGTCCTATCTTATGGCAATGAAAACATCCTGATTTCCCAGTATTGCCTATATTCTCTGTGCTATCATTTCTACTGAATGGAGCAGTTTGTCAAAATCATAAAACCTAAACTTTTCTTTAGCCGGATCATGCTTTCCCATTTCTTTCTCTGTCCAAAGCTCTGTTTCTCTTTTCTTTTCTGATCTCCTTCCTCCATTGTTGACCTTTCTTTTTATCTCTCTCCTGAAGTTCAAGTACAAAATTTTGCATTTCTCTTTTAAAGTTTATGGTTTTTTCTTTGTATTTCATGTTGCTTCATCTGCAGCTGAATTCTAGCCGACGTGAATTGTGTCTGGGGCTAGACTCTTCCAATCCGCTATCTCGTTACATCAACCACGTCTGCTTGGCTCCTGATTATAATTCCAACTCTAACCTGATTGTCAGTGCTATAGCTTTGGTTAATTCTTGTAAATCACTGTGGGTTAAATCTCTCTTCCAGAAAAGTCAGAGTATTGATGACATCATTTTGGTTTTCAGTACATATAATAGAATTCACTGTGAAAACCCTGATCAGCCTTAACCTTGGCAAGTCCTAGCACACTGATTGTTCTGAGCCTTTCACTACCATGTGATAAGTAATTTAGTCCAACAGCAATTACTTAAATAGTATGTTTTACAGAGTAAAATGTCCCAAAATACTTCATACGAACATAAGGCAAAACTTGGCCATTGACCAATATAAGGGAATGTTAAGTCAGGTGACAAAGACCGAAGCTTTGAGGAGCATAGCATTTAAAAGTAGCAAAGTGGAAGAGAAGCAGTGAAATATAGGGAGAGAATCCGATCCTAAGGCTTAGAGGTTTGACAGCTGATTATAGATTGAAGATAATAGGAAATTCATGGGAAGCTGGGATTGAAGTAGTGCAGAATTATTGGAGGGCTGGAGGAGAAACCCATGGAAGGATTTGATCATGAGGTTGAAATAATTTAAAATTGAGATTGACTGCTAGAATTACAATGTAACTAAGTGAGCACTGGGTTGATGACTGGGACTTACTGTGGGTTTGCATTTGATAGTTTTGGACAGCTACCAGTTTAGAGTATTCAAAGAGAAAATATTGGCCAATGGATCAACAAAGTAGTTAAGTCTGAAAGTAACAGAAGTATGGATGAGTTCATTTTATAGCTGAGGTCAAACATTGTCAAGCATCCATTTTTTTTTTTTCATTTATTTGATTGTCAGAGAGAAAGACAGAAAATTATAAACATGGCTGGACTGGGTCTGATCGGCAGATGGATTTTATCAGATACCAAAGTGAGGAGCGAAGCTTGGCTCTGCAACTTTGTGGCTGGATACAGAAAGGACCAGAGATTGATGTGGGTCCCTTCTTGAATTCATTAGAGGAAGGAGAAGAATGGGAACGTGCGGCTGCAGTTGCACTTTTTAACCTTGACATTCGAAGAGCTATAGAGATTCTAAACAAGGGAGCTGCTTTGGGAAAAGGTACACAATTCATCAATCTTATTTCAAACTAAAATCATTAGACATTTTAAGGGAATTTTTGTGATGCATCTTATATTGCTGCTATGGTTTTATTCAGCGATGGGACGTGGGAATGTGTAATGAAAAGGGAAGATTCTTGTGGGAATGGATTTTTTTGCTAGCTTTCATCTGAAATAGTCCAAACAGTGTAAAAATATTTTGTAACTTCAAATGCAGGTCATATCAAATATAAATTGAATTTCCATGATCTTGAGTATTTAAAAAAATGTTAAGACAATTCCACACAGAAAATTGACCAGACCTTTCAAGTTCAATATTTTGATCTGGGGCATACATTCCCAGTTGCATCTGTTTATGACAATTTGAGGAGGATATTATTTTTGTAGGTGCTTAAAGACAATATTTCTGTATGCTCACACCATTAGATTTTGTTGTTCTTAGCTAGTTTCTTTTCAGTGTGTAGAATCTTTAAATTTTTTTTGCTAGTCCAGGCACACAGTATGTTTAACTCCAAGCATAGCTGATGTCATGCATCCTTGGTTGCCTGTGTAAGTGAGTGGGAGCATTGTTCTCACCGTCTTGAGTCTGGCAACTCTCCAACTGTGTAGTATTCTTTTAAGTGCTGGCTTTAGTGCCAGCTTAGATTATGTGGTCGGATTCATTGATTGGTATATTAACCTGCTGACTGATGTGAAAGTGCTAACACTGAGCCAAAGCTAGCACGCATTGTATTAAAAGAATATCCCACAGTGAAATTACAAATTGTTTTCTCATTAATCTGAAAATGTATCTTTCTTTTGAGAAGGCAATTTTTGTATTTCTTTGGGCTCAGGATCCTGGCAGTATAAACAATTAGTGTTGAGCCCACAAACGTAAACGTGAGTTTAGGGAAGCTCACTGCTTGCAAATATGCCCAATCACTATACATTTGGAGTTCCAGGCCACAGACCTGGAATCTCCATGTGAGCTGACATCTGTTACCCAAATGGTGTGCTGCTAGGCAGGGAATGTTCCTGTAGTGAGAGTCTCTTCCCCAGTGTTCCCTCCAACACCAGTATTCTTGTCTGACTGGGTAGAGACTCCAGTGCAAGCAAAGCACTGAACAAATGGACAGGAAAGGCCTGGACCTAGTGTTCCCACTTGTCAGAAGTGACTGACGCAAGCAGTCACTTTTTGGGTCTGAGTCAGTACCATCTTTGGCTTCCTGTGTACGGATCTGTGATTTTAAAAAATGACAGTTAGACAGACAGTTGATGATTTGGATTTAGAGTTGGGGGCAGGGAAATATTTCTTTCCAGTTAACTTCGACAGAGCTGTTATTGGGTTTAAATGTTCTTTATTTTTGAAACCAATATATCAGAGGTGCCTTTATAATTAATCATTTGTGATTTGCAGGAGATTTAAACCTGAATGTTGTAGCTATGGCACTGTCAGGTTACACAGATGAAAAGAATTCTTTGTGGCGAGAAATGTGTAGCTCCTTGAGACTGCAGCTAAATAATCCTTATCTATGTGTCATGTTTGCCTTTTTGACAAGTGAACCAGGGTCATATGATTGTGTGCTGGTAAGTTTCATCTGCATATATTTAAGGTTGATGATAATTTTGACCACTTCTTAGTTTTGTAAATAATTTTGAAAACCAATTATTTCATTAAATCAAATAGTAACTTTTTTTATTCCTCACTTTAGTATGAGAGTAGTGTGGCAGTACGTGATCGAGTGGCTTTTGCTAACATGTTCCTAAATGATACCCAGGTGAGTGTAAATCTGATAATATACTTCAACCCTATTTAAAATTTGTAATTTAATGCTGGGCTCTGTTTTAATTGAGGTTGAATATTATCATGGAGTTTTGTTATCCACCTGTTTGTGTGCATGTGTGATTTGTACCATAGTTTTGGACTGGGTTTGAATGATCCCATGGGAATCTGTGAACCGAAATAACCAACTTTTAGTACATATCATGCAAAATGAAGAAATTATGAACAAAATTGCACTTTCTGTAATATTTAACACAAATTGGAATTAATGTAAATTAAAATAAATTAACAGGCAAATTACAACTGGTGCAAACTGTAAATGATAGAATGGAACAACAGACACCAAGATTATCTCTGAACTATTTGTAGGCAATCCTAAATACCCATATTGTCCCTGTTCCAGCAAAATGGTTTCTCCAAACAATATTGGTTTCAGCCTACAAGGACCTAGCTGATTTTCTGCATATACAGGCTTCCCTGTGCACTTCTTCCCAGAATCTTATCCTTCTTCTAAACCCCAGTTGTCACAACAGCATGTATCTACCAGAATTCCTCTCTGCTTCTGCTTCTGCTTCTTCTTGCTTGTATCTGGCACACAGCCCTGTTTTTTACTTCCTTTTGGTACTGCTTCCAGATCTAAGATGTTGCCAGACCTACTGAGTTTTTCCAGCATTTTCTGTTTTGACTTCTCGTATCAGTTTTCGTCCCTACGTGAACGGTTCCCACATTCTGGTTTACTGAACTTAGTCCATCTTCTCTCTCGTCCTAATACTATTGTTAATAGAGCTGACCCTCCACCTTTTTTTAGTTTCCAGTACATTTCACTGTTCAAGTAGCAATCCAAGTCACCCTGTAGTCATGTCTCTATAATGGCTACTAGATCATGCTTCTTTTTGTTTGTTTGTGCTCTTTTGTTTCAAATGCTGCATGCATTCAAATAGTGGCTTTAGCTTTATCTTTTTATTCTTGTAACCTCTACCTGAATCTCTCCTGATTTATTCTTAGATTTGTACATTCTCTATCCCTTTTTCTGTCAGTTTATTATTTCCTGTGTTTAATATCTTTCCCTTTAGACAAGCCTGTTTTGGTTTGTCATATCTTCCATTTAGTCTACAATTCTTGTTTTCCCTATTTTTGCTGAAGAACACTAGCCCCAGCATAGTTCAGGTGGAGACTACTCCATTAGTACAGATCCCACTTTCTGCAGTATTGATGTGATGTCACATTAACCAGACCCCACTTCTCTCATGCCAGTCTTTGAACCAAGTATTAATATCCCAATCTGATTCATTCTTTGCCAATTTGCATATGGCTCAGATAATAATCCAGAGATCATGATCTTTGAGGTTCTGTTTCTTATTTTGTTGTTAGTTTCTTATTACTGACTATGTAGAACTTTATTCTTCTTCCTGCCCATGTTGTGGTCCATGCAGATATCAACAACAACTGAACCCTTTCTGCTTCCACTGCAAGTTCCTCCAGCCCTGAACAGACTTCTGGAATGCTGGCACTGGGCAGGCAACATAGCTGTCTGGACTCTCGCTCACTCTCTTCTGCAGAGAATGGTGTCTATCTGTATGATCATACTATTCCCTACTATCCTCTGTTCCTTTTTTATATTGTTTTCTCCCTACCGCCTCTGCCTGCATCTAACTGAATGGCTTCCTGTATCACGGTGCCATTGTCAGTTGGCTCATTCACCTTGCAGATCCCACTCTCAACCAAACAAGTTGAAAGAACATCAAACCTGCTCACAATTGCAAAGGATGAGGTTCCTGCTGTCTGCCCCCAGGTCCCCATAACTGCCTCACTTAGAGTCAGACTCTCCTGTCCTTGAGCACTGGTGTGACTGCATCCTGGTACAAGGAGTCCAGGTAACCTTTCCCCTTCCTGAAGCATCAGTTCTGTAGTTCAGTCTCCAGCACAAACTCTGAGCCAAAGTTGAACTGCAAACACTTACTGCAAATATCTTTGTTTTTGGATCACATGAGCATCCTGGAGCACCCATGCTGCAGCTGTGACAAATCATTTCAGATTAATTTTAATATCTATTTAGGGAACTATATTCTTTTCCTTTTTCTTCAATTAAAAAAGTTACTTTCTGCAGATCTGTGTATTATTTCTTAACAATATTTTATGTAGTTAATTTAGGCCGGGGGGAAATCCCATTTCATCTTACTAAATTTTGCCTTTTAGGAGTCCACAAATCTTGCATTTTAGCTATCTTTGCCCTTTGTTGTGGTCACTGTTGCCCATTTGTATTTGCTACACGTAATTAAGTAAAGGCATTTCTGGTGTAACTAGAAATTCTGAATGTGTTGCTCATTTGACCACTTTACTACCTTCATTCCTGTTTATCTTAGATTGGATAAAATGCCCAATATTATTGCTCTGTTTTTGCCTCTTTGTCTGAACTGTCTGCGTTTCCTTCCTGTCAGTGCCAATTTGTGGCAGACTAAACACAAAAATTGTAAATTTTTTTGTTGAATTCTTGATTCTTATGTTTATGCAACAGATTTATGTTTTAATGCAACCTACTACACTAACTTCACGTTCTTTATCTGGGATAGAATCCTTTTATCTACACTTCTGCCTCAGTCCCTCTTTCCTCCAGCTAGGCCATTTGGCCCATTGAGCTGATTGTGGCTGATCTGTTGATGTTTTGAATTCCACATTCCCATCTGCCCCAGTTATAACTCTTTGATTACCCTGTCTAACAAGAATCTGTTTACTCTGTCTTAATGTTCAATTACCCGAACCTTTGAGGCAGAGTTCCAAAGTCATACAACCTTTTGAGAGAAAAAGTTCTCCTTTTTATTTCTGTTCTGAAATGGTAACCTTTTTTTAAAATAAAGCCCCTTGGTTCCAGACCTACCCACAAGAAGAAACGTTCTTTCCACGTCCAGCTTAGCAACACACCCTATCCAGAGTTAAGCTGTCTGATGTGATCAACTACTGCATTATATTCCTCCATAGTTATTGATGCCTAAAGTTGGTTAATTTTGTTTTTCATGTTTTCAAGTATACCACTCGATTCCAAAAAGCACCTACTTTTATGTTCTATAAACTAGTTAAAGTTGAAATAAAGGTCTGATTTAATGCACTTTTTTTCTCACGCTCCCACTCAAACATGCATGGCTTCCCACTTTTTAAAAACAAAAATTGATTAGCTGGATGAGTTTCAGTGGAATAAGGGCAGCAGGGCGGCACGGTGGCTCTGGTTAGCACTGCTGCCTCACAGTGCCAGGGTCCCGGGTTCAATTCCACCCTTGGACAACTGTCTGTATGGAGTTTGCACATTTCCCCCCATGTCTGCGTGGGTTTCCTCCCACAGTCCAAAGATGTGCATGCTAGGTGGATTGGCCATGCTAAATTGCCCCAAGTGTTGAGGGATGTGTAGTTTAGGTGGGTTACAGGGGGATGGGTCTGGGTGGGATGCTGAGTGTCGGTGTGGACTTGTTGGACTGAAGGGCCTGTTTCCACACTGTAGGGATTCTATGATTCTATGAAGTCCATGAAAATTACCTCTGAACTTTTTTCAAATACATGTGAGAAACAGCCGAGCAGCAACTGTTAGCAACAGAAAATGACAATGTACTCGTGCAGTTGATTTGTTCTGATGCATCTTAGAACTTTAGGTATGTAGCATTATCCAACTTTGACCTGGAGACCCTGCTCTGGACAAAAATAAAACCAAGCTCTGTTTTAGAGGTATGGCCCTTGAGTTGAAATAATTTATGAATGCATTAACTCTGTCCACCTAATTGACTTTTAATGTTACAAATCATAAGTTTTCCATTAAAAATGTTGCTTTGTTTGTTTTGTGCTTAAAACTTACAAAGGAAGCAATTTGAGATCATCAGATTTTAGATACATTTTTAGTGAGGAGTTAAAATATCTCCACTCATTTATCAAATAATGGATTAGTTTAGAATGTATTTAACATAGCTGGCTCCGATCATATGGCTAGAAGAATTGATGTCATGGATAAAAATAATGTTGTGATGTAGTGTAACAGATCACAATAGGAAATAAAATTGTGTACATAAGGAATATATACTGCTGTAAGATTTTTGAAAAGTTTTATATACATCTGTAACACAAACAAAAATTGCTGGAGAAATTCAGCGTCTGACTGCCTCTGCAGCAGGAGAGGGGACATGGTAAACCTGATTGGCAGATTTAACAGAGAATAGCTGCTCCTGCTTTCCCAACTGAGCCACCATCTTTGCTGTTACTGCTGCTGGGTGATGGATGAGAGACCTTAAGGCAGGGCAAGTGATTGAGGTGTTGTGGGGGAGCACTTTGGGACTAGTGATCATAATTCTATTAGTCATAAAATAGTTATGGAAAAGGATAGGCCTGATCTGCAAGTTAAAGTTCTAAACTGGAATAAGGCCAGCTTTGATGGTATTAGACAGGAACTTTCAAAAGTTGATTGGGGGAGGCTGTTCGCAGGTAAAGGAACATCTGGCATGTGAGAGGCTTTCAAGAATGAGAGTTCAGAGACAGGATGTTCTTGTTGGTGTGAAGGGCAAGGCTGGAAGGTGTAGGGAGCTCTGGAAAGCTAGAGATATTGAGGCTCTGGTCAAGGATAAGGAGGAGGCAAATGTCCGGTTTGGACAGCTGGAATCCAGTGAATCTGTAGACAAGTATAAGGGATTAGGAGTACACTTAAGAGGGAAATCAAGAGGACAAAAAGGGGAAATAAGATACCTTTGGCAAATAGAGTTAAGGAGAATCCAAAGAGATTGTACAAGTACATTTAAGGGCAAAAGAGTAACTAGGGAAAGAATAGGGCCCCTTAAACATCCACGAGGCTGTCTGTGTGTGGAATCCACAGGAGATGGGTGAGATACTAAAGAAATATTTCACCTCAGTATTTACTGTGGAGAAAGACATGGAAGATAAGGAAATTGAGCAGATATACGGTGATATCTTGAAAAGAGTCCACATTACAGAAGAGCAGGTACTGCAAGTCTTACACCGCATAAATCCCTAGAACCTGATCTGATGTATCCCAGAACATTGTGGAAAGCTAGTGAAGAGATTGCGGAGCCCCTTGCAGTGATATTTGTATTATCAACAATCTGCTGGCACCTAACCCATGGCTGGAGGGTGGCTAATGTGGTGCTGTTATTTAAGAAAAGCTGCAAGGGGGAGCCAGGGAACTACAGAGCAGTGAGCCTGACATCAGTGGTGGGTATGTTGTTCGAGGGGATTCTGAGAGATAGGATTTACCTTCAAGGTCCCACATGGTAGATTGGTTAGTAAGGTTTGATCTCATGGGATCCAGGGAGATAGAACCAATTGAATGCAAAATTGGTTTGATAGGAAAAGACAGAACATGGTAGAGGGTTGTTATTTGAACTGGAGGCCTGTGATATCGGTGTGTCGCAAAGATTAGAATATAACAGGTATGGTTAGGAATGGCAGATGGAGTTTTATTTAGATAAATGCGAGGTGTTGCACTTTGGTCAGGCAAACCAAGGCAGGACTTGCACAGTTAATGGTGGGGCCCCAAGGAGTGTTGTTGAACAGAGGGACCTAAGGGTGCTGATACATAGTTCCTTGAAAGTGGTGTCACAAGTAGACAGGGTGGTGAAGGTGGTGTTTGGCACACTTGCCTTCATTGGTCAGTGCATTTGAGTACAGGATTTGGGATGTCATGTAGCGGCTGTACAAGACATTGGTGAGGCCACTTTTAGAATATTGCGTACAATTCTGGTCGCCCTGTTATAGAAAGGATGGTGTTAAACAAGAAAGGATGCAGAAAAGTTTACAAAGATATTGCTGGGACTGGAGGGTTTGAGTTCTAATGAGAGGCTGGGACTTTTCTTCCCTGGAGAGTTGAAGGCTGAAGGGTAACCTTCTAGAAGCTTACCAAATCATGAAAGGCATGGGTAGGGTGAATAGCCAAGGTGCTTTTCCAAGTTTGGGTGAGTCCAAAGCTAGAGGGCATAGGTTTAAGGTGAGAGGGGAAAGATTTTTAAAAAGATCTGAAAGGTAGCTTTTTTATGCAGAAGATAGTGCGCATAAAGAACAAGTTGCCAGAGGTGGTGGAGGAGGCGGGTACAATTACAATATTTTAAAAGACACCTAGATGGCTATATGAATAGTAAGTGTTTAGAGGAATGTGGGCCACATGTTGGTAAATGGGATTGTGTCAGACTGGGATGCCTGGTCAGGTGAGGACAAGTTGAACTGAAAGGTCTGTTTTCATGCTGTATGACAGAAAAATGAACCAATTTTCTTCAAACATTTAAATGGAAAGAATTTCCACTCAGACCTCATGTATACGACCTGATAATTTAGCAAAAGTGGAGGAGTCAGGAGAGGTGGCGGTGAGGTAATGTTGGATATAGGCCAAATGCAGCCAAATAGGACTAGTTCAATTTGGGATACCTGGTCGACGTGGACAAGTTGCCAAAAGGGTCTGTTTCCGTGTTATATGACTCTGACACTATGACAGGTTGGAAGAGTCAGGAGCAAAGATCAGGGGCAGAGGACTGAGACAGCCCGAGAGCTGGAATGGCTCATGCAGTAGGGGCCACACTGCAGTACAATCCCAGGCTACGTGCTGAGATTTTAGATAGGTTGGGGGGAATGAATGGAGACCAGGACCCAGTGCAGATTTTGGGGGTGAGGGAGATAGAGGAGATGGGGATGGGGTAGGACAGGGTCAGAGGCAGAGTATCACGGCCTGGGCAAATCATTGCCTAGTCTTGGTTCAGAAATTGAAAAGGGGGAATAAGTGAAAGAAGCCGTAAGTTGCAATGGGACCTTTTTAATAATTAATATCTAATTTATCTGTTTTGTGTATTGACTTTACTTGGTTAAAGTCAAATGCATTTGTTAAAATTGTTCATGGCTATCCAGTTTCCTCTTTTCTGATAAGTACTTCCCCTCTTAAACTAAGTTTGTTTGATAATTTTATACTTCCATGCTTGAAAAATACTACAGGCAATGCTTGAACTCCTGGGTGGGATATAACCCAAAGCAGGTGTACCTCCTTCCAGGTATATTCAGTAAAGTAGTAGCATGTGTTGGGGTCAGCTAGCTCATTTGGCTGGATGGCTGGTTTGTGATGCAGTGTGCTGCCAACAGCACAGGTTCCGTTTCCGTACTGGCTAAGGTTACCTTGAAGGCCCCATGTTCTCAATTATGCCTAAGGCATAGTAACCCTCTAGTAAAACCACCACGTGTCTCTTGGAGGGGAATTTGCAGGTGATGGTGTTCGCAGATATGTGCTGTCCTTATCCTTCTTGGTGTTGGTTATCATGGGTTCGGAAGGTCTGTCTAAGGAGCCTTGGTGAATTCCTGCAATGCATCTTGTGGATAGTACGCTCTGCTGCTACTAATTGTTGGTGGTAGTGGATGTGGTGCAAATCAAGCAGGCTGCTTTTTCGTAGATAGTGTTTTGGTTCTTTGTTGTTGAAGCTGCACTCGTCCATGCAAGTGAGGAATATTCCAGAGTTGTGCCTTGTTGATGGTGGATGTGCTTTGGAGAGTCAAGAAGTGAGTGATTCACCATTCGATTTCTTGCCTCCGACCTGCTGTTGTAGCTATAGTGTTCTTATGGTTAGTCCAGTTTAGTTTCTTGGCTGATGGTAACCCCTAGGATGTTGATGAGTGTGGGATTCAGTGGTGGCAATGCTATTGAATGTCAGGAGGTGGTAGATAGATTCTCTGTTTGGAGATGGTCCAGGTCATTTTGACATAAATTGCTTCAGTATTTGAGGAGTGGCGAATAGTTCTGAACATTGCACAATTATCAGTGAGCATTACAATTTCTGATATTTTGGAGGGAATAAATTGAAATAGCTGAAGATTGTTAAGCATAGGGTGCTACCCCAGGAGATGTCCTATAGCTGAAATAACTAACCTCCCACTACCATCTTCCAGGTGCTAGGTATGACTCCTCCAACCAGCAGAGCTTCTTTGCCCTGATTTCCCAGTGACTCATTTTGCTAGAGCTTCCTGATGTTATGCTTGCTCAGTGCTGCTTTAATGTCAAAGACAGTCACTGTTGCCTCACCTCTGGAATTCAGCTTTCATTTCTTCTCCTGTTTGAATCACTGCTGTAGTCCTGACAGAACCCAAATTGAGTGTCAGTGGGCAGGTTATTGCTATACAGATGCTGCTTGATAGTACTGATAATCAAAAGGGTACTGATGGGGCGATAATTGACTAGGTTGGATTCGTCCTGCATTGTGCAAGTAAATTGCTTATTCAGAGACTCTGCAGGCATGGTGGGCTGAGCAGTAATAATTCTGAATTCATGAATACGTGATGTTCACTCATTCAGAAATATTTGTGTAGCTTATGAGAAATTGTTTCTGAGAGATTGGGAGGTTCTTGTGAATAAATATTCTGATGCCTGTTAGGTCATTTGGTTTTGGACTTAGCATATATTTATTAATTCATTGCATTTTTCTCACTGCTAATTACTGTTCTAATCTGTTAATTTGTTGCCAGCTATGCAGTGATTTGCTGGTATCTACTGCATAATTAATTTAGTTTAGTGCAGCGCACCTGTCACCATTTCATCACTAGTCTTTTGATATACTCACTTACAATACAAGTTGTTTGAGTTGTTTCAGCTTTGCTCTTCTGATTACATGGTGTCAAAAAAGTCCTAAAATTTGTTTTTAATTTCTCCTGTTATCTCTCATTACTGTAGTCGCAGCTTCTATTTAACATTTTGTTACATTATTCGTAAACGTTGAGATAAGCGAAACAACATCTGTTGATTTTTTTTCTCTCTGTTAAAATCTCATGGAATATTCCCTAATTATGAATGTTTTCATTACTGGTTTAGTTGTGGTTTGCTGGCATAATAAAAGCATAACAGAGGAAATAAACAATGTTGACATGAAGTCTGCAAAACTCCTGCTATTGAAATATGTTTGGTTACGTTTCTAAATAATAATTGCAATAATAAATTAGATAATCATGAACATCAAATTTCATTTATGTTCCAATATGGCCATCCTATCCGAAGTATGCAAATATAATTGTCTAATGTTAAAAATCGAAATTATCCTGTTTGTTAGCATCTTCAATATCTTGACTCGATCCTAATCTTTAGATCCTTCGGTATATTGATAAACTAACTAATGAAATGAAAGAGGCTGGAAACCTGGAAGGAATCCTTTTAACAGGCCTAACCAAGGATGGCATTGACCTGATGGAGAGTTACGTAGATAGAACTGGTGACGTGCAGACTGCAAGCTTCTGCATGTTGCAGGTAGGTCAAACAAAATTCGTAGTCATGACTATGTTTTATGTTTCTAATGCTCTCATTTCGAGATTCTGAGATTTCAGGGGAAAAACAAACTTGAATGACTCAAAATGCTTACTACCTGATATAAGTGAAAACCAAGATATTGTTGAGGTGGATGTGGTTCAGGGTGCAGTTAAATATTTGGTTAATAGAGTTGAATATAAGAGGGATGAGCTAAATGCCCTTTCTTCATCCTTGTGCAATTGGAATACCATTATGAAAGGGTATATGTTGATGGTCCTAAAATTCAAAGAACATTTGCTTAAATAATACCTTTGCTATAGCTTAATAGTTATCTGAATACTTGATCTTCTTTCTTGATTCATATTAATATGAAGGAGTCTACTCTTTTTGTGAATTGACTAGACTGTATACAGTATGTACTATCATGATTAAAGAAAAATCATAAGAAATAGCAGGAGTAGGTCATTTAGCCCGTTGAACATTTTCTACCATTCATGGTACATTTTCTACCATTCATGGTTGGTTTTGATTGTGGCAGTAACTCCACTTTCTTGCCTGTTCTCCATAATTCTTGACTGCCTCATTGAACAAAAACCTGTCTATCTCGACCTTGATCATATTCAATGTCCTCCCCCACTCCTTTCTGTAGAAAAGGATTGCAGAAACTAAAAAATCCCAAGAAATTCCTGCTCATCTTGTCCTTAATTGTGAAATCCCATGTTTTTAAACTTGGCCTCCAGTTCTGGATTTCCTCCATAAGAGGAAATATCCTCCCAATATCTATCTTGCAAATTTCCCTGAATGTTACGTTTCAGTATGATCACCTCATGTTCTTCTAGACTCAAATGAGTATAGGGCTAACCTGCTCCAACTTCTTCCTAAGTAAACTCTTTATTCCTAGGAATCAGCCAAATGAGCCATCTCTAAACTACTTCCAGTGCAAATATACCCTTTAAGATGTCAAAACTATGCATAGTACTGGGGTAGAATCTTCCTAATACCCAAGACACCTATAGCAATATTTTGTTCCTTTATTCTCCATCTACCTTGCAATAAAGGCCAACATTCCATTTTCCTTCATAATTACTTGCTGTAACTGGATACCAACTTTTTGTGATTAATGTACCAGGCCAAGCATACCTCCATAACTCTGAATTCTGTGGTTTCCATTAAATAATTCTGATGAGTTCTGATTTTAATGTTCTTCCTGCCAAAGCTGTCAGCCTTGCATTTCTCCACAGTATACTCCAACTGCTAATGTATTGTCCACTCAATTAACCTATTTGCTCCTGCTTTTTGCAGTGAATTTGTGTAATCCTCTTAATTTGCTTTCAACCTATCTTTGTATCATCAGCAAGTTTGGCTCCAATGTAGTCTATTCCCCATCTAAGTTTATTAGTATAGTTTGTAAATATTTGAGCGCCACCACTGATGCCTGCGATTTTGCACTAGTTAGTTTTCTGACCTGAAATTAACCCGCTTATCTCCTCTTTCTTGTGAGTTAGCCAGTTCTTTATCAATTCTAATGTATTGCCCCAACACTTTATGCTATTATCTTGTGCAGTAATCATTTTATTTCAAAAAGGCATTTAATATTACTACATCGTCTGCTTCACACTTTTTTCCACGCTGCTGTTTTTATCCTCCAAACAATTGAAATAAATTTGTCAAACCTGAGTCCCTTTCACAAAACCACGCTGAGACTTTATTTGTATTTGCTTTAAATAATTCACTAACTTTTTCCCGGTTACAGCTGTTAAGCTAACTAATGTTTAGTTTCCTGATTTATGTAACTAATGCAATCACTGTCTCTGCAGCCATTTTCTTTTAAAATCCTAGAATGCAAACCATCAGGCTCAGTCTTGTCAACCTTTAGTCCCATTAGCTTTCTTGCTACTTTCTCTAGTGAATGTGAATGTTCTAATTTCCAACCTCCCTTTAGCCTCGTTTGTCTACTGTTCCTACAGTGGTTTTTGTCTTCTACCGTGAAGATAAGTACAAACACCACATATATCATTGATTTCGTTCGTTATCTGTTTCTTTTTTTACCTCCACACCATCTGATGGATGAATGCTACGTAGCAAATCAAAGGGAGTAATTATTTGAATTTATAAAATAGTCAATTACTTTGATTTATCTGATAACCAGTTATTGTTTGAAAGAAGACATGACTGAAGAAAGGATATAACAGTTGAAAAATGATTCTGTTGTGGCACTGTGGTAGAGTCCCTGCTTCTGGGCCAGAATGTACAGATTCAAGACTCCCCTTTGCTGGAGATGTATCATAACATGTCCAAACAGGTTGATTCAAAATCTATACAAAAATGTCCATCTCTAAGCTTGGCTTTACTACTTTGTGGACTCTTGTGGCATAGTGATAGTGTCACTACGTTTTGGCCAGAAGGCCTGGGTTCAATCCCACTGGTCCCGATTTGTATCATGGTGTGTTGAAGAGGTACATCACCTAATGAAAATTTTTTCAAGGCATAAGGCCGATCCTTAAAAGCTGTCTATTCATTTTATGTATTCACGTTGTATTTCATGAGTTATGGGTAGCCAGGATATAATATTAAGCAGGAAAATTATATTTGATAAGTTGAGGTGAATTCCTCCAATTATTTTACTTTGATAATCACCTAGACAAGTAATGTCTGTTGTCAGTTTAAAGATGTGATTTCAGAGTGTAGTATTTTTTTTTTTAAATGATTATATTTTTAATATCCTCAGGGCTTTCCAAGTGACGTTGTGAAAGATCCCAGAGTCCAATATTGGATAGAGAATTATAGAAACTTACTTGATGCTTGGAGGTTCTGGCATAAGAGAGCTGAATTTGACATCCATAGGAGCAAGTTGGACCCATTTTCTAAACCTCTAGCACAGGTAAAGTGGTTTTTCAAGGAACAGAAGTGTAGTTGTTATTTTTTAAAGCAAAGAATCAGACAGACTTTGTTATTTAAACTCTGAACTCCATTTTAAATTGTTTTCTGGTCCATTTTAAGTTCTGAGAAGAAAATGTGTGACAGTGTATCAACTTGCTGTTTTATTCATAAATGGAAACTAATTGAACACACAGGGATATCTTAACTTTTTCATTTAATTTCATAAATCACTAACTCATAGCCAGGGTAAGTGAGGGAAAATCTGTAAATTGACAGTTGTAATATTGCTCATCCACTACTTTTGCCTGTCATGATCCTCACTCTGTGTTCAAGAACTTCTGTTAGAAGTCTTTCTAAACATTGTACTACAAGATCATGGAAGATGCATCCATGCATCTGTTTTCTTCTTGATGCCTTCCTATGTAATTGAGTGGTAACCATAAAGCCAAGGATAGAAATTAAGACAGATTAATGCTGTCCTTAACTAAAATATTTTACTTTTGATGAATAAATACTGGACTGGCCCTCTCTCTTTAATATCATTCTCTTGTTTTGTCTCAGAAAAAATAGAAGAAACAGCATTGAATGCCAATTTAGGCCATGTTGCACAAAGAATGGTTGTTAGTAAAGACCCTAAAATGTGTTGAAACCCAGAAGATGACAATGTGTGTTGGAAAACTGGTTTGGAATTGCGATGAGTACCTGGGGCATTTGGACCAGTTTGGTAGTCCCCTGTCCACCTCCACACGTAAAACTGCAAATAATGCATTTTATTTTACAGGCTGATTATTCTTTTCTTTTACAGCTCATTGGGGTGGCATGCTGGAAATGAAGTCCTGCTATTCCTGGAACCATCACAGAAGTTAAAAACTTTTTAAGTGTGCACAAGTCCACAATTTACTAACAGCCAAACATAAGATTATAATTAGCAGACTGTGGCTTGCTCAGAAAGCGCTACCCAATTGTGGAATCACATCCAACAGTAGATGTTTTTGGCTTGGGTCAGACGATCAGAGTTTATGACCTTTTTCTGTTTTCTTGTGACCACTGAGTACTATTCAGCTGCCACAGATCTGAAATTCCAAGTCTCAGCTGCTCACTACAAGATGTGCAATAGTGTAGGGAGGATTTGGCATATTTCCACCCTCCACGGAGCATGGCCAAGAAAAGGATGGGAACAAAGTGGCAATTCAACCTGTTGCCTCCATGACTGTCCAAAAATTTCCAGAAATTTTTGTTTAGCAAGGTTGGTAAAGAATATAGAGTTAACCACAAATCAGCCCAGATCTAATTGCATGGAAGAACAGGCTTGATGGGCTTTGTGGTCTAATTCTGTTCCTATAATAGTGATAGATATCAGAAATATATTTGCCATGAACATTGAGTGTCTTCCATCGTACAGTGCTAAGTAAAATGGCCTTATTAATGTTAAGCTGTATTTCCTGAAAAGTGTAGATCAGGTCTGACCTTGAGGCAGCTCCTGTCCCAACTGCTGGTAAATTACTGTGGGATGACTTGACCGCGTTGATCTGGGGTGAACCCCAGATTTTGGACACTCCCTGCAAGGAAAGTTTTGGCACGTCTGTACAGAATACTGTTAGACATCAACAACACAGGTGGCCAGGATAGCATTCAGCAAGTTTCCTTAGTACAGTTAGGCCCTTCCCTTGCCCTTTTAGTACTGGTTTGTAGAGTAATCAGATGGGTACAGAAAAGCTACAATGCTAGTGTAGCTCTGCAGACTTGATTATGTGAGCCAGGTTGGCTGATCAAAAACCCTGGCGCTCCCTTTCTAACAGCACTCTGGGTATATCTACACAACATGGACTGGAGTGGTTCAAGATGGTGGCTACTTGTCCCCTTTTTGAGAGCAGTGGAGAATGGGCAATAAGTGCTGGCCCAGCTAGTGATGGCAGCATCAAATGAAAGAATAAATAAGTCTTTAAAATAAAACAACTTATAGAGTGCACGAAATGTGCAACAATTGATCAATTTTTCTTTAAAAATCTTCCATCGACATAACTTTAGAGAAATGATTTGATTCAAGATCCATTCACACCTGGCCTTTTAATGCAAATATGATTTGTTAATCAGAAATCAGGCTATAGACTGATTAGAATCATAATCCAGGTAAATGACAGGTGAAATCTTAACACCATCACCACTTTGAGAAGAAGCATAGCTTGTCCTGAAACATGTGAATGTGATGCTAAAATTGTGATCATATTATGTAACACATCATCCACATCATAATATGACTTCAGAACACGTGCTTGCCTTCGATATGGTGTTCTTTACTGGGAGAGGCCAAATTATGGTGAAAGATGCTGTACAATAGGAGACTTCTGTAATTTTGACATGTAGAATTGCAAAAAAAGAATTTCAGTTGTAACAAAATTATAAACAAAAATAGAGATCTCTGGAAAAGCTCAGCAGGTCTGGCAGTATCTGTGAAGAGAAATCCAAGTTAACGTTTCGGATCTGGTGAACCACACCTGAAACGTTAACTCAGATTTCCCTTCGCAGATGCTGCCAGACCTGCTGAGCTTTTCCAGCGACCTCCTATTTTTGTGTCTGATTTACAGCATCTGCAGTTCTTTCGGTTTTTATTTAGTGATAAAATTACATTTTTTCAAGAGGGAATATTTAATATGCTGGAAGATTTTGCAGTGATTTCAATGCAAATAGGTTGTATGCTAGAGACGACGCTTGTTTAGATGGATATGCATTTATGGCAGGCCAGATGCCAAGTAAAGTAAATAAACACATGACGACAAGCCGTCTCTAAAATAATTGACTGGTTATTCTTCTCTGGGTAGGTATGGCCTATTTGTCATCCTGACTCTCCTCTTCACCTGTCCTCCAGCAGCTTTTGCTGCTCTGTCTGCCTTCAGTTCCTTCTTGTTAATGTACAGAGTAAATGGATCTTAATATAATGAATAAATGATATTTATAAAAATTTAAGTTTTTTGTTAATTTTGCTGAAAAGCATGGAGCATTTAAAATTTCAAATATATGACTTTCTGTTTGTTCTTGATGGGAAGTGAGAAATACTTTGTGTTGGCTTACATTTTGTTAAGGTTCTTTTCTAAGATTACAAAAGGACCTTGATCAGTTGGGCCAATAGGCTAAGGTGTGGCAGATAGTTTAATTTGGATAAATGTGAGGTATTGCATTTTGTAAAACGAACAAGGGCAAGATTTAGACAGTTAATAGTAGGGCCCTGGGTGGTGTTGTCGAACAGAGTCCTAGGGGTTCAGGTACACAGTTCTTTGAAAGTTGTGTCACAGGTAGGCAGGGTGGTTAAGAAGGTGTTAAGCATGTTTGCTTTAATTGCTCCGATCATTTTGTGTAGGAGTTGGAACGCCATGATGAGATTCTACAGGATGTTGGTGAGGCCACTTTTGGAGTACTGTATACAGTTCTGGTTGCCTTGCTGTAGGAAGGATATTATTAAATTGGAGAAGGTTCAAAAAAGATTTACCAGGATGTTGCCATACTGAAGGGTTTAAGTTATAAGGAGAGTTAGGAGAGGCTGTGCCTTTTTTTTTCACTGGAGTATATGAGGTTGAGGGGTGACCATGTAAGCGGTTTATAAAATCATGAGGGGCTTAAGTAAGGTGAATAGCAAAAGTCTTTTCCCTGGGGTAGGGAGTACAAAATTAGGGTGCATATTTAGAGGAGGAAGATTTTAGAAGGGACCTCGGAGGCAACTTCTGCACAAGAGGAAATGAGCTGCCAGAGGATGTGATAGATGCAGGTACAGTGGCAACATTTAAAAGGCATTTGGACAGGTACATGAATAGGAAAGGTTTGGAGGGCAAACACGGGCAAGTGGGACTAGTTTTCTTCAGGAAATTTGGTCAGCATGGATGAATTGGACCACAGGGTCTGTTTCCATGCTGTATGACTCTATGGCTATAAAATGATAATCAACTGTTTCAATGATATGAGATGCTTCACAATTCTTGTTCTCAGTTCTGTGTACAATATGCATTCCAGGTGTTTGTGAGCTGCAACTTCTGTGGAAAATCAATATCATATAGTTGTTCTGCCATGCCACACCAAGGACGAAGTTTCAGCCAATATGGTGTTAGTGGTTCTCCAACGAAATCAAAAGTCACAAGTTGTCCAGGATGTCGTAAACCTCTGCCCCGTTGTGCACTTTGTCTTATCAATATGGGAACACCGGTTTCAAGTTGTCTAGGTAACCATTAATGCGAGATATCAAGTTGTCATCGTGATAGCCTGGTAAAAATAGAGCCCTCATTTTAGCTAAGTCACAACACAAGCCAGTCAACATTGAAGAAGAATATATTGAATTGTGGACATATCCAGCCCATTTTTCTTTTCCCTTGATGGCTGATTTATGCCAGACATTGAACATGATGCAATATAGAGCTGAAAAGTTAAACAGCTTTAATTAAGAAAGTAGCAATTCTCTTAATTACTGTGTACCAGTGTTACACGGTTTACTTCTTTGAATGTTATGCAACCCTGTATTGGAAGAGATCCTCAGCTTAAACTAAATTACACAGAAATTGTTGGTGCAAGTGTTATTAACTGCTGTCACCTTTATGATTTTAAAAAATGTTCGGCATACCATTCCGTGTTTGGGTAAGAGCAAAAGAAAACTCCTTTAATGCTTTTGTTAACCATGCCAGACGACAATTTGTTCCATGTTTGCATTGACAAACAAAGAGAACAGGGTTTACCACTAACTTCTCAATGGATAGCAACCGTTTTTAAACAACTTTAAACAAACTCAATTCAGTAGGGGAGGAACAAAGATGTTCATGAGACTGATGCGGTTCATTTTTTTTTAATAAAAAGAAACGCTTGTGACATTAATACAGTAGACAAATCCTTAACTAACCCCATGAATGATTAATTTTTAACTAAATTGGAAAGAAAACAATGTGGAAGGTGGATGAAGCAAATACTAATTATTTGAATATCATATTTTAAAATTTTTATCTTGCTGTTTTTCCTCTGAGGATTTTTTTTTTAAATTGGAACAGGAACTGGAAAGTCTGATGAAAAAGTTGATCTCAGCAAAGACAAGAAATTGGCTCAGTTCAATAACTGGTTTACTTGGTGTCAGAACTGTCGTCATGGAGGTCATGCTGGTCATATGCTCAGTTGGTTCAGGTAATAAATATCCATGAGATTTCTACATAGATACAAGAAGAGTTGAGATAGCAATTGATTAGTACAAACAGAAATGAAATGTACTATTTTGGCCTCTTGTAGGAACTGCTTTGTAAAGTATGTTATGTAACCTCTTTGCACAGCTGTGTCTGCCATGCCTCCTCATCTGTAGTTTGGTAGCTATTTTTGTTTAAATTCTATCCCATTTAGCTCAATGGTACTGTCGCACAAAACAGTGGAGAGTATCCTCAATAAGAAGAGTGGACTTTGTTTACACAACAACTTTGCAGTGGTCACACAGAGTAATACTGTCATTGATAGATGCACCTGTGGCTAGAAGATTTTTGATGATGACATCTATTGGGTTTCCCCCCGCTATTGTTACTTCCCTTCCCACTCACCATGGACCCAGACTAGTTGCTATGTCCTTTAGGACTTGACCAGTTCAGTCAGTAGTGATGCTGTCCAGGCACTCTTAGTTTGGACATTGACATCCCCCATCCAGAATACATTCTGCGCCCGTGCCACCATTGATGCTTTCTCCAAGTGGCGCTCAATATCGAGGAATCGTAGGGAAATGTGGGGAGGGCAATACATGATGATGTTAAGAAAGATTTCCTTGCCCATGTTTGACATGATGCCAAGACATTACTTCAGGCAGTCCAGAGTCAATGCTGAAGACTCGCAGGACAATGCCCCTGGCAAATAGGAAGGTATGAAATATTGGATGGGGATAATCATAGCTGGAGAATAAATATTAAGGGATTTGGCATCTTTAAAGATAGTTTAGGCCCCCATGATTATGACAAGGGACGAAGGAACTGAATTACGTTTTTTGTCACGTACTCTCATGAGTAAAGTGAAAAGTTTACAAGTCATCACTTATGGCACTGTCTTAGGTACAAAGATACCTAGGTACAGAATCTTGGTACAAAGCAAAAGAATAAAGAAAACAAAGTTTTTAAAAAGTTAAACATTACAGTCCTCCTTACTTAAAATGTAGAAAAACAAAGAAATATAGTTAACAGTTCGACACCACAGTCCATAAGTGCCTGGCTATGCTGGGGTTGCAATCCTCACAAGGGCTTGACTGTGCCTGCCGCTGCCTCAGGCTGCCTGATGTCACTCATGTCACTGGCTGCCTTGAACTGCCTCCAACTCAGCTCTTGCCCCCAGCCATGTCAGGCTGCATGTTCCTACTCTCACTGCCACTCAGGATGACTGACTATCATTTTCTAATGTCTGTAGTCTTCCTTTTCAAAACTTCTTATCGCAAGTGAAAACAAGTTAATATCAGTAACAGAGGAAACAGGGTTACTACAACAATTAACACAACTTAACATTCAACTATTTAAGAAAGAAATCATTGTAAGTTGAACTGTGTGTGTCAAAAGGAAGAAAACTTACTCTAAACCTGCAGGTCAGTCAGCCAAACCTTATAAGCGCGTGGATCATTGAAAAGAAATTGCACAAAAGGGTAAAGTCTGGATTTCTACCTGAGCCACAAACTAATTGGCAGAGGGTCAACAAGATTAGAGGTAAATATGTTGCTCACTGTGGGAGAAATTCATCGGACATTGGCTCCAGTACTGGGGAAAGAAGGAGCTGTTCTGCTGGGATGGGCGCCATGTGAATTCTGCTAGGGCCAGAATCCTGGCGAATCGCATAACTAGGGCTGTGAATAGGGCTTTAAACTAAATAGTTGGGGGGGTAGTGGATTCAGTTGCATGGAAAATATCGAAAAAGTTAAAGCCACGGGAGGGCTTAGCAGAGCTTATTAAAGTTTCTACAACAAGACTTAGGGTAGAGAGTATGGAAAGGTTCAGGAATCCAACTTGAGGCACAGCAGATAAGGGGGACAGTCAATGCGGGACTGATGGTGTTGCACTAATTGGCAGGTACCATAGAGAGATGGCTGGAAGGGAATTGGGGCTGGGAACTAAATACCCAAGAAAACCTGTCCTGTTGAAAGGAAAAGCAGTTGGGCAGAAGGGTTGGAGTTGTCTTGTTAGTAAGAAATGAAATTAAATTGATTGCAAGAAAGGATATAGAGTCAGAAGGCATAGAATCTTTATGGGTAGAGTTGAAGAACTGCAAAGAAATAAAGACTCTGGGGAGTTACGTATGGGCTTCCTAGTAGTAGTCGGGATGTGGAGAAGGAAGTAACTCGGGTGATAAAGGCGTGATTACAGTAATCATTGGGGTATGCAGGTGGACTGGGAAAATCAATTGGTAGTGGATTCCAAGAAAAGGAATTCATGGAATGTCTGTAAGATGTCTTGTTTTGGCGTAGCATGTGGTAGACCCACGAGGGAACAGGCGGTTCTAGATTTGGTGGTGTGTATTGAGGTGGACTTGATTAGGAAGTTCAAAGTGAAAGAACCCCCGGGGGACAGTGATCACAATATGATAGGATTCACCCTGCAGAAGCTGGAATCAGATGTAAGGGTATTATAGTTAAGTAAGATAACTACAAAGACCTGAAGCAAAAACTGTCCAGTCAATTGGAAGGGGAGCTTGGCAGTGAAGATGGAGCAGCAATGGAAGGAATTTCTGGGGAGAATTCAGGAGGCACAGCAGAAATTCATCCGAAGGAATAAGAAGCACAGAAAGGGGGAAGACGAGGCAACCACGGTTGATGAGGCAAGTCAGGGATGACATAAGAGAGAGCCTACAATGTGGTGAAGATTAGTGAGAAGCCAGAGGATTGTGGTGCCTTTAAAAACCATCAGAGGATGACTAAAAAGCAATAATGAGGGAGATGAAATATGAGAGTAAGCTAGCTAGTAATGAGAAGGATTGCAAGAGTTTTTTTTGAGATGTATACAATATAAGAGAGAAACAAGAGTGGACATTGGACTGCTGGAAAGTGTGACAGGAGAAGTAGTAATGGGAAACTAAGAACTAGCAGAGAATTGAACAGGTATTTTGTATCAGTTTTCATGGTGGAAGACATCAGCAACATACCGAAACTTCTAGAGAGTTGGGGGCAAAGGTGAGTGTAGTTGCTATCACCAAGGAGGAGGTGTTGGGGAAGCTGAAAGGTCTGAAGGTGGATAAATTGCCCAGACCAGATGTACTACAACCCAGAGTTCTGAAGAAGACAGCTGAGGAGATTATGGAGGCATTGGTGGTGATCTTTCAGGAATTACCAGAGTCAGGGAAGGTCCCAGAGGTCTGGAAAATGGCTAATGTAATACCCTTGTTAAGGAATGGAGGGAGGCAGAAGACTGGAAACTATAGAGATAATAAGAACTGCCGATGCTGGAGTCAGATAACACAATGTGGAGCTGGAGGAACACAGCAGGCCAGGCAGCATCAGAGGAGCAGGAAAGTTGATGCTTCGGGCTTGGGACCCTTCTTCAGAATTATAGGCTGGTTAGCCTGACCTCAGTTGTTGGTAAGATTTTAGAGTCAATTATTAAGGATGAGCTTGCAGAGTACTTGGAAGTGCATAGTAAAATAGGACTGAGTCAGCATGGCTTCATCAAAGCAAGAAATCTATTGGAATTTTTTGAGGAGGTAATGAGCAAGTTGGGCAAAGATGACCCATTGTATGTGATCTTTTTGGATTTCCAGAAGGCCTTTGAAAGGTGCTGCACTGGAGACTGCTGAATAAGACAAGTCCATAGTGTTAGAGACAAGCTACTGGCATGGATAGAGGATTGGCTGACTGGCAGAAGGAAGAGTGGGATAAAAGGTCTTTCCCAGGATGGCAGCTGGTGACTGGTGGAGTTCCATAGGGGTCAATATTGAGACCCACAACTATTTACATTATATATAAACAATCTAGAGAAAATAACTGAGGTCATGGTTGCTAAGTTTGCAGTTGATACAAAGCTAGGTGGAGGGACAGGTAATGTTGAGAAACTGGAGACTGCAGAAGAATTTGTAGAGTCTAGGACAGTGGGAAAGAAGTGGCAGATGGAATACAATGTGGGAAAGTGTGAGGTTATGTACTTTGGTAGGAAGAATAGAGGCATAGACTATTTTCTAAATGGGAAAGGCTTTGGAAATCTGAAGGACAAAGCGACGTGGGACTCTTAGTTCAGGATTCTCTTCAGGTTAATGTGCAGATTCACCTGGCAGTTAGCAAGGCAAATACAATGTTAGCAATCATTTCAACAAGGCTAGAATACAAAAACATATGTACCATTAAGGCTGTATAAGGCTCTGGTCGTATAATATTTGGAATATTGTAAGCAGTTTTGAGCCCTGTATCTAAGGCTGTTTGCTGGGGTGGGGTTCCAGAGGAGGGTTTGTCATATGAGGAGCAGTTGAGGACTGTACACAGTGGAGCTTATAAGGATGAGGAGGGACCTGATGGAAACTTAGAGAATACTGAGAGACCTTAATAGATTGGATGTGGAGATGTTTCCACTAGTTGGAGAAACAAGGACCCAAGAGCACACCCTCTAAGTGAAGGGATAACCTTTTAGAACTGAGATGAGAAGGAATTTCTTCACCAGAGGGTGGTTAACCTGTGGAACTCAGTGCAGCGTGAACATGTGGAGGCCAAGTCATTTAAGACATAGTTAATATTGAGATAGGTTTCTTCTTAGTAAGGGGATCAGTGGTTATTGGGAGAAAGCAGGAAATAGGGTTGAGAAATACATCAGCCATGATTGAATGGTGGAGCATTTAGTTATGTTATAGGTCTTAATCAACTTGAATTCTGGTTATTTATTGTCTTATAGACTGGTTGTGATCAAAGATCTTAACGTGGAGTTTTTTTGGGCATTTCTTACAGCAGCCTTTAATTTGGGCAAAAAGAGATTAACTTTTCACCTTTAAAAGCAATCAATCAAAGTTTGGGGAGTGTGGGACTTAACATGGAGGAAAGGCACTTATACAGGTTTGGATTTAATGGACAGTTTCTGTACTGCTACATGATTGATGTTACTTTCTGGGCCAGAGAAATAAATACAGGGATACCTTGTTTCTCTGCAATGTTTTATCTGCTGGCTGATAGCTGATATCAGCTAAGTAAATTAGTGACTGCCAACCCAGAAATTTCAACTTGATCTTTTCTGGGTTGGGACTTATTTGTTTGCCTCATACCTTTTTAAAAAAGGGTATTCCTGTGTTGACAAGGTGCAAGGCTATTTTTCCTCATTATTTCTATTACAGTTTTAATGTAGTAAAACTTAAACTTTAAAAAATTATTTTTATTCTTGTCTTCATTTTTCCTCAACCTCATTATGTGCCAAGTCGAGAATGCACTGTTCACTATGAATCACAATTGCTGGATCAAATTCAAGATAGCTTAAACTTCAAGTTGTTATGGACAGTTTAACATGCTAGACATCATTTTGAGTCTTGTACATTATTTCCCTTCCAAGTTCAAATCTTTACTGCTGCTGTTTTGACACCCTTCTCCCACAGGGATCATCATGAATGTCCAGTGTCAGCCTGTACCTGTAAATGCATGCAGTTGGATACAACTGGAAACCTCATCCCAGCAGAAACATCCCAGAGCTAAAAGGCACAAATCCCAAGGGACTGTTTTCTAATTGTCCTTTTAAAACCTTCATGTATACCTTCAGTCCCTGAGCAACCATTGCTGTTAAGTAATAGAAAAGAACTTCCATCATCTTGGCAGTTTGCCTGAATGATTTTTGTGTTGTATAGCAGAAATGTATTTTGAGTGTCAAGTTTTTGGAGCTGGTCCAGTTCATTTCAAGATTTTTCTGGAATTGACTTGAGATTCTGACCATCATCCAGCAAATGCCCTGGATGATATTGAAATAGTACTTGAACTTGCCACTAAAAATGAAACAATATTTGTACTTTGTCTCGAACAGTACAGTCATTTTAACTTGATGAGAACAACTGAATGCAGTTTTTCAGAATGAGACACTTAACAAGTATTGCTTGGATTTATGTTGTATACATTTGTATGTTTGCTTTTCAGTTCTGGGAAATTAGTATTATTGAACATAGAGGATATGCCACTGAAATATGGCATTAAGCAAATTCAAGAATGGTGTACTATTCCATTATAATTTATTTCACTCCACAATCTGCTGAATTTCTACATAATTCTAATGCTGCAAAGAGGAATATCTGCACACTGAAGGTGTCTCCGTTACTTCTGTTTCGCACATCAGAACTGATCTGTTAAATTCTCCCTTCCTGTGATATTGTTAAAGAATTCTGAGATTCAATCCGTTTTATTAAATTTAATAGGGAATACCATCTATTCATTTCTATGCAGATATATTGGAGGCATACGGTCCTTTACTAAAGCAATAACTGTTTAGATAAATACTAATTCATGGCCTAAAATCAGGTTCAACTTGGCAATTTAATTGTTAAAACCTAATATGGCCACAGCCATAAAACTTTGCCAAATAAATTCTCTAGTAATGTGCAAAAATACTGGACGTATTAACTTACTTGAGTTGTAAAAAAGTAATCTGCACACTGTGTAAACTGCATTTACTGTTCATATTCTGATGTGTGTGCCTAAAATCAAAGGTGTTCTATTTTTAATTGGTCTCAAATTTGTAAATAAAGTGTACACATTTTGTGTTTTCCTTCTACAAAAAATGTACAGCTTTTCAGAAGTTTGTGGAAGTTGTTTCTGTGCTTTACATTCTTTTCTCTTTATTTCATGTGCATAATTTTAAGAATGAAATGTCACCTGATATGAAATCAGTATCTGGATTCATGAACATAAAATTTAATCATAATGTAGAGGTTCTGACTGAGCTGTATGGCACTCTAAAAGTGTTTAGAACATTACAAGCTTTCCAGCCAAATTTATTAAAGGCTAGTGTTTTTTTTCAAAAAAATCTAAACTGAGGGTCTGATATCCACCACTATTGAAAATCTTTTAAATAGTCTGACCATAATGTAAGTGGATGACTCTTAAGGGGAGGATAGAGTTGTTCCCCATCAATGATTAACTAATGAAGTTAAAAGGATGCATATCAAGTCCATTCAGGATGAGGGTGTTGCTGGGCAGATCAGCATTTATTGCCTATCCTTAACTGCCAAGTAACAAATCAACCATGTTACCAAACATATGGGAATCAGAAGTAGAAAACTTGAACTCAAATTTCACCATTTGCCACGATGGGATGCAAAACTACATGCCCACAACTTTAACCAGGGATTCAAGATTACTAGAGCAGTGACATTACTACATCGCTACCACCTTCCCTGCCTCAGTTACATTGGATATTTTGAGATCACATCATGACTACTGTATGGAATTTTGATCTCCTTATTTATGGAAGGATGTAAATGCATTGAAAATGGTCCAGAGGAAGTCTACTAGATTGGTACCTGAAATGAGCTGGTTGTCCTATGAGGATAGCTAAGGCAGGTTGGGCTTGTTTCCACTGCTGTGCATGGGGGCTGACCTGATTAGACTATGTGAGATTCTAAATTGTCTTGACCAGGTGATATGACAAAGATGTTTCCTCTTCTGGACAGATGCAGAGCTAGAGAACACTATTTAAAAAATTTGGAGTCTCCATTTCCAGGCAGTGAAGTCTCCACCCAACCCCCCACCTCCCAAAAAAAAAAGAGACTTTGGAACTCTCTCCAAAGATGGTTGAGGTTGGGTCTTGAATATTTTTAAGGTGGAGGCAAGCAGATTCTTGTTAGGCAGGGGAAATCGAAAGGTTTATCGGGATTAAATGTAAATATGAAATTCAAAATACAAAACAGATTATCCACATTTTTTGAAATGGGGAGCAAGCGTGAGAAGATCAATGACCTACTATTCCTAAATCACATTTATGTGTACTTAGGGCGGATGTTTCTCAGCTTATGGTAGTAAAATAGTTTATTCGGATACTCAAATTTTGGTTCTCTATTATATGTGACACTAATTTCATGATCTCATTCTTCCATTTTTAATATTTTGTCAAAACTTTTAATTTGTCCTGGTGAATATAAAATAAAAAGTATACTGTATGTTTGAACAGATGCAGTATCTCTACATGTTCTTTTAACGTGCCTGGTGCATTTTCCATTATAACACTTCAATTAGAATCCACTTGCCAATCAGTTGGCATTCTCCTCTCCTACAGTATAATTGTTCTCTATCTTTTAATGTTGTTTCTCATGCATTGTCCTAATGAAGACACAAACTTTTGCCAAAAAGTGTCTCTTCAGCAATACTCAAGTCAATAGTACCAAATAACACATGCTGAAATCTGTACCACTCAAAGAAGCAAACTAATAAGCATTTGTACAGTATAATAAACTCATTATGGTCCCCAACTCAGCAATTATACAGAGTACTTGGCTTTATTTCACGTCCTGCCCTGAAAACTGTATAATCAAAGCAGCATTTCAGAAATACCAAAGAAGTTAGTCGTTACTGAAGTTCAAACAAATGAGTACACTCATTGATCGTAATCTGGTCACAATGTTTTAACCCAAATGTCACCAATAAAGCTTTTTTCCAAAAAGCTTTTGTTTTAAATTGGACTACAACAAACCATTAGTAAGCCAGTATATTTTACATTGCCATCCTTTATGAATCTTGAACAAGCTTTAAATGTTTACATTTTACTCACTTTTCTCGCAGGTGAAGTACTATGATTTATAAGCTCCACTTATGAAAAAAAAATATCAATTTCTGAAGTGCTGAACTCCCTTGACTTTAAATATCCATGTAAAATTATCTTTCAACAAATGCATACCTTTGAAAATTAGTTTTGCAGTATTCTATAAAATGACTCCATCACACCTTTTCTTTCATTTCAAAGGTAACAGATTCCAGAGACCTAGGTTACTATATTGACAACTCTATTGAGTAAAATGATAAGTTATATGAGACGTTCAATTAGGCAGTTGAGATCTTGTCTTCCCAAATGGCAATGTCTTTGCAGACTAAAAAAAGTAGGAAATCAACCACTTCCTGTAACACCAAATGGATAGTACTGTGGAAACTCATGTATGATATTCAGGGCTTCATTGTAAAGGTGGAGATCTGAAAAACAAAGTGAGGAAAGAAGTTAGTGTGGCAAACTGTAGAGCCTAAATGGCTACACCTGAATTGAAGTGCACAGAAAAAAAACATCATATTTCAATTTGGTAACCAGCTGCTCAAGATGAAATAAAAAAAAACTTGCACTTACATTTGCATCTAACCACAGCTTCAGGAAGTTCCAAAGTGTGCTATACAACCTCTCAACTACTTTTAGAATAGAATAATAGAATCCCTACAGTGTGGAACCAGATCATTCGGCCCATCAAGTCCACACTGACCCTCCGACAGGCCTCCCACTCCCTTACCCTACGACCCTGCATTTCCCGTGACTAATCCGCCTAGCCTACACATCTTTGGACTGTGAGAAGAAACCAGAGCACCCAGCAGAAACCCATGCAGAATCTATGGAGAGAGAAACAGAGTTAGTGTTTCAAGTTCAAAGACTCTCATACAGAATCAAAGTGTCTTTGGACTCAATGCAACTTGGTTTCTCTCCACGCATGCTGAATATCTCCAGCATTTTCTGTTTTTATTTAAAATTTCCTGCACCTGCAGTATTGTGCTTTTATCTAATTGGGTAACTTGCTTTTTTTTGTTGATGATAGTGGAGAGCATAATGTAACTATGTAAATACCTGCTCTTTGGTACTGTACCATCTTACAACGTCCTATATTGCCTCTCAAGGTACCATGCCATTGGCATGCATTTGTTAAAAAATAGAAGCCTAAATATTTTACATAATTTACACTGGACAATGCAGTACAGCCCTTTGCCATATCAAGTTTTCACAGGTGCCAATCATATTAATTCATGTGCAACATGTCCCACCAGGCTATGTAAACAGTCCAGTTAAGAGAACACCTAACAACCTCAGATGTTGGAGGCAGAAAATAAGCATTTCAAGCTGCCTTATTAACTATAAAGAAGCATAAAAAAATAAATTTTACAAATTGTCCCTTTAGAACATCAAGTCCCCAGGGCCTAAATCCTAACATTTTAAAGTCAGTGGCAACAAAGTTAGTTGTTCCATTTGTTACAATATTCCAAAATTCTCTAGATGCAGGAATGGTTCCAGTGGTTTAGAAAATGGTAATATAACACCCTTATTCAAAAAGGAAAGGCAGACAGTAGGAAACTGTAGATCTGAGTTTAACATGTCACTGGGAAATTGTTAGAATCCATTATTAAGGAAAGTCAAAATGCAATCCATCAGAGTCAGCATGGTTTTATGAAGGGCAAATCATGTTTGATAGAGTCCTTTGAAAATGTAAGAAGAAAGATTCATAACAGGGATCCTGTAGATATATCTGGACTTGCAGAAGACATTTGATAAGGAGCTGCATAAAAGATCAATATACAAGGTAAGGAGTACATAGGGTTAGGAGTAAATGGATGTTTTTCTGGTTGGCAAGATGTAATGAGTGGGCTGCCACAGGGTCCTCAGGCCCAACTATTTACAAGCAATGTTAATGACTTGGATATAGGTACAGAAAGTATGAAATTTGCCAATGACACTAAAACAGGTGAGAAAGTAGGCTACAATAAGAAGTTTACAAATAGCTATTGGGGGGGGCTTTTGAAGTTGGTTGTGGAAGCTGCCATACATTTCTCTCCGCCAGAATTTTTTCCTGGACTGGAGAAATATTGCATGTAAAACAAATCTATTTTACTGAAATAACAAAGAGCTGGATGAACACAGCAGGCCAAGCAGCATCAGAGGAGCAGGAAAGCTGACGTTTCAGGTCTGGACCCTTCAGAAGATTTCAAACATTTCTGAAGAAGAGGGAAGACCCGAAACGTCAGCTTTCCTGCTCCTCTGATGCTGCTTGGCCTGCTGTGTTCATCCAGCTCTATACCTTGTTATCTCAGATTCTCCAACATCGGCAGTTCCTACTATCTCTGTAACTATTTTACTGAATATGTCTTTGCCAAGGGTGTGTTTATGGGATGTTATTATATTGGAACCATTGCTGTTTAGTAGTCAAATAATCTATTATTCTGTTAAGTTTTCCAACAGAGTTAAATTTATACCGATTCTTCTTTCTTTTGTTTGTGACAGTGAAGGTTATCTAAGATTACAAAGGGAAGTTTATCTATTGGGCCAATGGGCTGAGGAACAGCAGATGGAGTTTAATTTGGATAAATGTGATATACTGCATTTTGGTAAGACAAACAGGGCAAGAATTATACAGTTACAGCTCTGGTTGGTAGTGTTGAAAAAGAGACCTAGGGGCTCCGGTACAAAGTTCTTTGAAAGTTGCGTAACAGGTAGACAGGATGATTAAGAAGGCATTTAGCATGCTTGCCTTCAAAGCTTAGACCACTGAGGAATTGGGACATCATGTTGAGTTTGTAAAAGACATTGGTAAGGCCACTTTTGGAGTACTGTGTACCAGTATGTCTGCCCTGCTGTAGAAAGGATATTATTGGAGAGGGTTCAGAAGAGATTTGCAAGACGTTGCCAAGATTACAGGGTTTGAGTTGTAAGGAGAGGCTGGAGGTTGGGGGTGACTTTATAAAGGTTTATAAAATCATGAGGGGCATAGATGGTGTTTTCCTTGGGGTAGGGGAATTCAAAACCAGAGGACATATTTTTAAGGTGAGAGAAAAATTTAGAAGAGATCTGAGGCTAACTTCACAAAGTGTGGTTCATATGTGGAATGGTCTGCCAGACGAAGTGGTAGATACAGGTACAGTCACAACATTTTAAACTACATTTGGACAGCTACATGAATAGGAAAAGTTTAGAGAGATATGGGCCAAATGCAAGCAAGTGGGGCCAGTTTAGTTTGGGAAATATGGTTGGCATGGATGAGTTGGACCAAAGAGTCTGTTTCCTTGCTGTATGACTATGACTCTGAGATACGGATAGGTTAGGTGAATAGGGAAAACTTGGCAGGTGAAATTTAATATGGATAAGTGTGATGTTATTCACTTTGGTCAGAGGAATAGAAAGGCAACTTTTTAATCTAAACGGAGAGAAACGGCAGAAGGATCTGCATATATCGTGGAAAACTGATATGCAGGCACAACAGGTAATAAGGAAGGCAAATGGAAATCTGACATTTATTGCTAAAGGAAGAGAGTATAAAAGGGAAGTATTGCTGCAACTGTACATTAGTGAGACTGCGCTTGAAATACTGCATATAGTTTTGGTCCCTTACTTGAGGAGGGATGTAATTGCATTAAAAGCAGTTCAGAGAATCATGAGATTGATTCCAGAGATGAGTGGTTTTAAGAAGAGGTTGTAAAGAAGGCATAAGGAATGCTGTCCATCATTGGCAGAGGTATAGAATACAAAAGTAGGGATATAATGAAGAAATTGTATAAGATACTGGTCAGACCTGGTTGTTTTCCTTGGAACAGAGAGGCTGAGGGGTGATATGATTGAGCAATACAAAATTCTAAGGGGTAGAGATAGAGAGGAGGAACCCATTTTCCCTTGGCAGAGAGTTCAAAAACCAAGAGTCATAGATTCAAGCTAAGTGGCAGGAGGATTAGAGGGGACGTGAGGACACACTTCTTTAGACATTGGGTGGTGGGTGTCTGGAATTCGCTGCCTGAGTTGGTGGTGGAGGCAAAGATCCTAAATTCTTTTAAGAAGTCCCTGGATCTGCACCTTAAGTGCCAAAAGTTGCAGGGCTGTGGGACTTGTGGAGTAAGATTAGAAAGGGCATCTGGGTGTCTTTGAGTCAGCATGGAAAAGATGGGCTGAGAGGAGAGCTATTGGAGGTATTTAAAATGAAGAAGTGACAAAGTAGATGAAAATATTTTCTTGTAGAGAAATCCAGAATGAGAGGTCATAAGATAAGACATAGCAGACTGAAAACTGAGATGAGGAGAACTTATTTCTCGCAAAGGATTGTGAATCTGTGGAGTCCACTGCCACTGAGTGAACGAATGCTGAACATTGAGTAAACTGAAGGAGGTGCTGGACAAATTTTTAATTAGAAATGGGTTGAAAGGTCATGGAGAGTGGGCAGGAAAGTGGAATCGAGGCTGAGGAGATCAGCCATGAGCATAATAAATGGCAGAGCAGACTCGACAGTCTGTTAGTATTTATGTTCTTATTGACACTTTACCACTACAAAATAAACTTGTACGTTTTCTGTACATTGATTTGAATATTTCTTCAGTTCATTGTCTCATAACAAACACAGATGCTGAAAAACCTTTAGTCTTTAATTCAGGCAGTGCATAATCCACACATCATGTTGCACTTTAACATATATACATTAAGGTTTTTAGAATTATTTTACATGAGAAATTATAAATTGTCCCAGTTAACCAATGAGGATAATATTTCCCTCCCCTCTATAAAAACCTTTCTAGTTATTGCTTGTTCTAATGTTGTTCTAATTCAATTTGACAATGAGGAAGTTCTCAAAAATTGGGATAACTTTGAGTTACATTCCACAGGAAAATCAAAATGACCCGAAAGAGTTATTACAATCATATGGAGAGATATGTGGGAATAAACTAGGAAGTACTAACTTGATTCTGCATGATGTTGAGATAGAAAATGCTGTTCTAATTAAGCAACATCCTTATAGAGTTAACCCTCTAAAATTGGGACAGGTTGAAGGAGAGATTGAAAGCATGCTCAAAGACAACATAAGCGAAGTGAGTTGCAGCAAATGGAGCTCACCCATAGAGATGGTGCAACACCAGATGGGATCCAACATTTATGTATTGATTACCGCAGAATTGTAGTTATGAAATCTGATTCATATCCTACTCCATGGCTGAAAGACTATTTGAGACAGCTGGACAAGCAACTTATATTTCAAAACTGGACTTACTCAAAGGATAGTAGCAAGTACCTTTATCCGAGAGAGCGAAGGAAATTTTGGCTTTCATGACACCAAACGGACTTTACAAGTGAGGTTGTTGACTTGCTTGCTGAACTGGCTTGATCTCGTTCAGATGTTTCGTCACCATGCTAGGTGACATCATCAGTGGAGCCTCAGATGAAGTTACTCACCATAATGGACCAGACA